CTCGAGCAACGACAATGAGGATGATCATGACAATATGGATAACGTTCCGAATGCGGCGACTTTGGAGATCCTAGTCATAGCCGCGCTGCATGCGTACGAGGCGTACACGCTCTCCAAGTCCGAGAAGAAAATGATGAAAGAGACCAATGAGGGGATCTCCAGAACAGGGGGATTCTGCTTTGGTGGAAGTCGAAAGCATCAACTTGGCCCATCTTGGCGCGAGCTGCACGATCCATCCTTGCAGTATCGGCGACCAGCGCCATTTCAGAGAACAACTTCTCCGACACCGGTAGCACGGTCTCAAAGAAGCGCAACCAGCTGAAACCTTCCACGGTGAACATCCTGATGTTCGAACATGGACCTGATCAAATAGAAAAAATGTTATGATTCCACAAACGATCGATCACATCCCTGGACCGACAAGTAGTGTTTATTAACAGATATCATGAAAACTCTGGCGGTTAATGAGAACTGCCTCTATCTTTTTTTCTTGAATCAAGTCAAAATCCCATGAACTTGAAATCTAATCAAATCCATACACAGAACTTCCAAATTGTTCTCTGATGATACCTTCTCTACATTCATTCTTAAATTTATCGAAGGAGCATTCTACTGAATTTTAATCAAGTACAACGTTAGAAACTTTAGAATGACAAAAGTGAACCAAAGGGAATGGAAATGATCTGAACCCACAAGCAGACGACCAATCTTGTCATCTTTCAGTCTGTCTGGAAAAACACCATCCCTTCATTCGAGCAATCACCGACCTATCTTTAATAGTTCAGTGAAGAGTAAAAGTTTCCAGTATCAACTCAGTGATTACCTAAACATCTCATAATGAAAGTAGACTTGCTAAGGTGTGTGAATCCCTACCCTTCTGCTAAGATAGCAGTTAACACTGTTGTCCACATTCAATGAGCAAATAGTTTCCCTTCACCGACTGACTTCGGGTGCGGGTAGCGCACACAAGCACGGGCATGGATCGGATGCGGGTGCAAATTTTTGAGCCTTTGTGGGCGGCTACGGCTGCGGGTACGTCGGGATGCTCGTGGGTGGGCACGGTCGCAAGCGAACTTTCTCAATCGAATGTCATTCACTGCTCCTCTATGTCTAATGACACAGTTAGCACCTCTGTAGAATTCTTCGAAGTAACTCTTACCCTGGCTTCAGCCGAAGGAACTTGATTGCGTGTTGAGGTTCCTTCCTCCTTCATTATGGCCTTACCTTTCTCCTTCCTTGTTGCCCAGCGCTTCACCACTGTCGAAGGTCTCACATCAAAAGTCTAAATGTACTTCTCCGAAGGCACATCCTTCTCTCTCACCGCGGTCTTTGCTTCCAACTCCGCCCCCTCTTCCGAAGGAAAACGGTCTTGCGACGCATCAACATTGCTATCCGTGCTGCTATCAGCCTCAAGTATCAACTTTCATCTTTGTCCAAGCCCGAGCAATAGGCTTTTTGAACTTGGTAGGAACTAGTCTGTGCTCACACTCTTCTGTCATAGTGATCTCCTGGAGCTTTCTTCTCTTCCGTGGTCACTCTTCTCGCCTGTCCCTAGGTGCCTCTGTCCTCCACGGAGACGAATCAATATGCTCGTCCTCTGTATCAGTGTTGACCTTGTTGGCACACATAACCTCTCCTCGCGCGTGAATTCACATCAAAAACTTCTTTCTCTCTGCATTAGTTATCAACCTCATTCCTCTATAGAAATTAATAAAAAAACGGATACATGTAATTGGCTGATCCTTCGGGAAGTACACTAATGTTTTGCCGGGTGGCTAACCAGAATATTCGCGCCAAGTGAATTTGGTTATATCGTAGCACTCGTTCCACGAATCTAGCTTGCCAAGTCATCATGTACGTGATCCGATAAAATTGAAGTATCTGCATCAACGTCATCGCCACATTCCTCCTCAAACAATCGTGGTACCCTGTGGTTTGATATTCGGTCTTGCCGGTGCGCGGGTTCTTGAATAAGGCTGCATATGACTTCTCTTTAGCTCGCGTTACCTTGACGCTGCCACTATCAAAGGTAAGATTGTCATCATTTCCTGCGCAACTCCCCATGACTTTTGTCTAGTCCCAGATTTGCCAAGTCTTAGGATTTCCTCGATAGCCCGGTGGTTTTGGAGCGCCACCGTTGTCCCACTCCTGTACCATCGCTACATATACCCAATTTCAGCAAGAATTCAAGTTTTGAGAGAATCAACTCACCACGATACGCTTGCAATCCCGCCTCCGGAGGTCTTAGTGCGGCGAATCGACTTGCGCCTGGTCACCCCATAGCTGCTTCCGTCAGTTCGAGCTTCCGCATCACAATGTCCCTTCAATAGTGTGATCGTGAAATGTGGGAGTCAGACTCGCGCCCGCGCGGGTGTAACTTGCCGTCGCATCGGTAGAATCAACTCGTGCGGATTGAAGGTGTCGCCATTCAAATTTCTTTCCCGTGCGGCACCATCTTTTACTCCACTCGTGATACTTCACAGTCATCACCGCTGATACCGAATACCCTCTTCCAAAGTCTGATCTAGATCTTCGGAGAACTTGGATCTCCGTCCCTTCCTTCCGTAGCTCGAGTCCCACTAGTCTGTTCCTTCGGCTTTGGCACCAACAGGTCAAGCTCTGCTTAGGGCAATCCTTCATATTACCTACTTCTACTTCACATCTATACTAAAAGTTCTTATTCCATCCTCTTCTAACTACTACTATCTAGAAAGTTAAAACTTACGTGGATTTTACTACCTTATTTCCAAAAAAATGGAAAAACTGCACTACCACAATTCTCACGTACCTGAAGAGTACTAAATATTATGCTTACTAAATACTTATTACATTGTCAAATCCTTGCTAGTCTACATTGATGTCTACTATAAACAAGATTTTGATCACAAAAAATTTATAAATGGATACGTGGTTACACTTGGTGGTGTTTGCATAAATTGAAAATGTACCTTGCAAAAGTACATAATTTAATATATTGCGAATATTCAATATGTAGCCACAGTAGAAACAATAACCTATTTGATTGCTTCAGCAATGTCTATTTATCTCTATTTATATTTATATTATCATGTTTTGGGTACAAATTAATTCTAATTTGTTTAAAAAGTGAAATTTGTTATGTTTACTTGATCTTGAGAATAATTGTGTATTGGGAAGATTGTTAGGTGTACACTTTGTCCACAACAGGGATGGGTTTAAGGGATTGAATATGTGATTGGTACTATTTAAGGTGCTCGCTGCCTTAAGGCGGCGAGCACCGTATTGAAGTATGTAACACTACGTGATTGATTTTTCCTGTGATGGTGTGACTATCTGACAAATATTACTAACATGGTTCAAACATGTAACTATATTGAAGATGGTATACATCGTTCAAATTGAATAACTTTACCAAAACACATATAATGGTATTGAGTGTATATCATAGAAATGTAAGAAGAAATTAGGAGGATGTATGTAATAGATGTTTTGAGAGTCATGAGAAGTAAAAATTATATCGTAACACCTCAATTCTTTGTGAAATGCGAAATGCAACAACTGAACTATTATCTGCACCAGTTTGGGATCGATTTTTGACCTGTATATTTCAGAGGAGTGGTCTTACTTTGCGCTTGTCTTATTTTTTTTAAGTGAAAATAGTTGACAAGTTTAATTTGCTAAAATGGAGCAAATAGAGAGTTTTAGATTTTAGATAAGAGATTATTGTTCATGGATAGTGAATGAAATGTATTCAGACCACCAAGACCCCCAATGACTTTGACATGAACGGCCGACACGCATTTCAGCTGATAGTAAAAGTGCTGATTCAGTCTCTTTCTTCGGTGGTGCGGCGGATAAATAGGGAATGTTAAGTGCGGTTGCACATTCTGGAAGCACAGCACAATCTTGTACTTTAATCATAGTTCCGTTAAGTAAGGACTACGAGTTCAACCAACCGTGCTCCATAACCTGACCATTTCCAAATGAGGGCATAAAAAATTCAAGAGAATGAGAATTCTCGTGGATTTACGTCATTACGAAATCAAATCCGTTAACCATCTCACATTTCGTGGTGTTTCCCCTTTAAAACTCTGAATTTAATGTCATGCACTTAAAACCATTACGATTACCTCGATAATTGATCGAAACGAACTGGTAGCATGGCTGACTGATACCATTGTATTTAGGACGTTGCGAGATTAGGAGGGCAGTCCGTGAGTGGTATCGTATATTCCCAGAGATCGTCCTTGCTTGTCAAATCCCACACTTGTACAGGCTCTGGTAAGTGCATATATTCTGTGCCAGGAAAATATCACATCAATAACTCAGATCGAATCTTCACACACTTGTCTTCAGATAGAAAAGACTCCGCCTTAAGTTCTCACACCAAGCCAATTGCCATACGGTATTACAGATTCAGCCTTCGAGATCATTCCGCACCAAGAAATTGAATTCAACAGCTTGTCTTGCGGCGACAGTCGAGCCGTGAGTCACCACCAGCATCCAATCTTAACCATAAGGACAGAGCTGCCCTGGAGGTAGTACTTAAGTTACAGCTTGAATAACGTGACAGGAACGACAAAATCTGAGACGATGATCTGCGGTCTGAAAACTGTTTCCTGTATCTTGAGAAAGTCTTTTTACAATTATCTCCCAAGAGATCTCCAGTGCCGGCGTAGTTTGATGATGGAGACGCCCAGATCAGCCACACACCATTTGCAAGTGTCCTGCACGAACTTCTCTGGTTTCGGAGGTGCAGAGGGCATTAGCAATGGAGATAACTAACACGTAGTGGAGTTCTAGCAAACCAGAAAGTTACTTCGTTGAAGTTTAGTACTGAAAGTGGTCTAAACAAAATAATACAATGGTCAGTTGCGCGAATTGCCTTTGCTAGCCAGCAAGGCATAAATGAAACAACATACGCCGAAAACAAAGTGTAAATTTACGTTTCAAGTCAATCGTTCGGCCAGAAAACAGCAGAATGAATGCTGCAAACCTCATTTTCGTCATTCGACAGTCATACTCCATGATGGTGTGCTCGTGGTGCTCCACAATGAATTTCATTATCTTTGGTCAGACTAAGACATTTACTGCAATCTTGACATCCTCAAACTTAGCGCCGAGGATTATCATACAACAATTTAATGGGATTGATCAATTTTACATTCTTCAAATGAATCAAAAGGTGAACCTTTAACTCTAAATTTTAATATACAAAGCTAAAGGGACCTGTCTGTACCTAGATGACCTAACTGATGATGCATTCACATCTCAAAGACAGCTCACCTGACTCAAACAGTTTATCCGCTTCCCTACAAAACAACTAGCAGCACGGGCAGGTTTCCTTCATGGTCAAAATTCACACCGGAGTATGAGGATGGCGAGGAAATCCCTGCTCTACATCGAGGTAGCTTAGAAGCCTCCGTAACCGTTGAGCCACGTGACAATGAAAGGGTAAGGGGGAGTGTCGAAGATTAAGACTCGGACTCACGGTCAGCCAAGATAATGCATGCACCTGGGCAGCCACTGATGATACAGTTCGGTGTGCCTCCATATTTGAGGAATCCTTGTTGATGTCTTTGAGAGACTTGGTATGTGGGAAAGAAGATACAGAACTGGACTCTAAGCTTAAAGGATTTCCTGAAAAAGCAATTAGTCCAACATGGAGTGTGGAAGGCCATTCTTCTTTGATGGCCTGCTGTACAAACTCGCTCATGGGAGATGGTGTAGGTGGAGATATCACGTAAGCAGAAGCTAGGGCTGAAACTATTGGACTGCCTTGCAGAAGTTGGGCAATAGGAGGCAAATTAGGAGGAACCACTGGTGACTGCCAAATTATCGGTGTAAGAAATCGTGGAGTGTTTGTGGGAACTAACAGGTAGGAAGCACCCGTATTTGCCAGGGTTTTAACAGTACTGACTCCAGTGATGCCACTACTGCTAGAATTTCCCACTGAACCAGCGGGCCAAGTAGCTGATGCTGAGCCTCCCTGACCTGGACCTGCGGTGCGGTAGTCATACGACATATCAGATAAGACAACTTCTCCACGGCTTGTTGTTAAACAGGGCATGTGGTATACCACAACTGTAGAAGTACAGATCCTGCATTAAAAGGTGCATAGACTAAAAGTAGAAAACTAGAAGATGATCTAAGGAGAAAGCTTTAGAGATATGATAAATTTCTTACCTGACGAAGGTGTCAAATCCGAGACACAAATAGTCTGCAAGGCGTGTTCCACCCGAACTGATACCAGACTTATGCTGCTGACCCATTGAAATAGACCCTTAGAGTCCAGGCCCGACTGACTAGAACCCAGTCCCAAACCTTGTCCTTGCCTTCGAGGAAGATTCATCCCCATTCCTGAGGACTTGTTGCGAGATGTATATGATGAGGAAGGGTTTGGAGAGGGAGGCCTGCTACTACTGCTGGCTAAACCTAAAGTACGATCAGAAAGGTACGCAATATCTTGGTTTTGGAGAGAGGAGTTCCCGTTGAGTGCCCCAGGCCATAATTGCACAGGCCACCTCCTTGAATCGTCGCCTCCCATAAGCATCACTGTCCGATACCAATCTATAAAAAATAAAACTAGGACATAAGATCAAACATGCTAAACTTTCACACGAGGTGGGAAGGGGCAAGAAATTTTAAAATAAAATCAGAACATCAGTTCACACTATGTAAACTTTCACATGAGGCGAAAAAGGGGCAAGAGGGAAAAAAATAAATGTTAACATGTTAAGCCTTTGAAGCGACATATCAAAGACTGGATCAATGTGGTCACAGAGAAAGATTGTGAGTTGAAGACAAACTAAAATTCAGGCAGACGTGCATACCTTGACATTCCCTTTCCGTGAAATCACCGAGGCGAGATATCATTATATTCCGTGGCCGTTGACTGCCGGCTTCAGCGGCCATTGTCAACAACTGCAACCCTTGATGCAAAACTTGGGTGAATAGAATTTGAAGACCAGCATCCTTGACGGCACCCACTAGAGGTAATACGTGAATGTCAAGTAGTTCACCTCGAGAATCAGTCCAAACAGAAATGAGCCATTGCCAATCATCTGTCCACAGGTAACAACAGTGCAAGTCTGCGGCTGGCTGACTGCCACTGCCTTGGGAATCCCCATCTGCCCCTTCTGCACCTGCCCCAGGTTCTGATAAACCTGGAGTTAACCCTGAGGTACTTCCCGTTGCTTCATCCGCAGAGGATCTCAAAGAATCCTTTCCGCCGGAACGCAGTGAAAGATAATTTGCATTTGTATCCGGAATTCCAGGCTCTGCTAGAATGAACAAAGGCTCATACAAAAACCGACCAGCTTCATTACTAGATGCATCACCCACCAAAGAACCTCCATCTGTTACGGATGAGTCACCAAACCTTGACGTTGCTGACTGCCACCCACCATCCCAACTACTCCTAAGACTAGATTCAATCCCCATATTTACTGCACTGTTTCTAACAGTATTACAGTCCTTCCACATACCTGGCAGAGTAGTGCCACTTTGCAAAATCCCAGAGCGAACCCGAGATGATGGCAACGAGGGATGCAAGCTCTCAGGAAGGGCAATTTTCCGCTGTATCCGACGAGCCTTGTTGTACACGCCAAATGCCACGTCTCTGAGCGTACTCAGTTCACTGGTAAGAGTAGTACTGGCCTTCATAACAACCTCGGCAGGCAACACCTGTAAGACGAATCGAGATGTCGAAAATCCTACCACAGGTGACGAACTGCATTCATCTGTTGCGGTTCCCACAGCTTGACTGTAAGTTGAGGATCTTCGCTCTTTCTCTGATAGTGACAATGCAGATCCAAAGCACTGGGAAGCATCGAGCACAATTTGCAATAATTCCGCTGGTTCTGATGAAGGCGACACAACGTACACAACCTGCATGCACGCAGAGTGATCTAATGAGCTCACCGTGGTGTAATAACCCTCCTCAAATTTTCCAGACTTATTTTTGACGTGATGTGTGGACAATTAAAGAAGTAGTAATTACATGACCAATTCGATATCTAAGCCTAGAGGAAATTGTGTGAGCAAAGTACCACGCTTTGGTCTTGATCAGGATCTCTTTGAGAACTGCTCGGATTAGCTAAAATTGGTACGTTCTTGCAAACTTTTGACAGCGATTTCCGGAACTCGTTGAAATTCCACCCACTGTCCATACTGGCCACAAAATCTCCAATCAAAGTGGAAGTTGGAGCAGATTGAGTAGAGGGGCAGGGAGAATCTACAATCATGAAACCTGGTAACACTGATTTACTAAACCCTGCTGATGTACTTCCTGTAAGCCCTGGGGTCACAGCTGGTGCATGCGTTCCCAGCTTGCAGGTTTCGTAGACTGCACGAAATGAACAAGACCAAAACCTGCTCATCAATCCTTTTGTAATGAGCAACACATGAAAACGAGGGAAAAAGCTTATTTTATTGAAGAATTTCACAAAAGCCAAATATCTAAGAAGGAAACAAAAGTAGGAGTGAGAATATTCAAAATATAAAAACTACATGGATGCAAAAATAATATGGAAAAAGAAGGAAGTCTTCAGGTAAACAACCTGAACTGAGCTGCTGAAAGAAATCGCTTGCAGCAGTGAGCAAGGAGTCCAAGCCTAGGCATAGAACGTAGTAACTGACCTGCTCCACACGAAAAACAATTAGATAAACTTCAAGCAAGAAGACAGATACTTTAGCTACACCATGTAACTACTGGATTAAATAGGAGATGCATAATTTCAATAGAAGTCACAAGTATGGGACTTGATATTGTTACAAGGGCGAAACACTGTCTCAGTAGCCCCAATCGTTAAGTTTTCTTTTGTGTTTCACCCAACGGCCATCAGATGTGGGGCCTCATGAGAACACGAGAGTGGCAATAATCGGCAACTGACCGGCTTTGGGGGAGCATATGGCTCCAACGGAGCCTTCTCCCACAAGTGGAGAACATTTGGAGAAGTTTTCAACCAATCTTCTTGATAACTGCAAAACACATACTGATCTTCAGATGACAAAAGCTATTTGATTTACAGATACCATTCCTATATGAATCATAAATATGTGCGGTAGGCACAAAAAGTTTATAAGCTATGCACATTCGAAACAACGCGAGAGAAACCACAAGAGATCGACACAAAAGTCAACTAAAGAATAGAACAACCAAGGCGCTCTAACTATTTCATATATCGATGCATTGTAACTGCCAAACAGTGAAGACTATAACAGAAGCACGAACTTGAATACTGCTGAAAGAATCAACAAATTAGGTCAAAAATCATAACAGATAAAGAAGATCGACCGCAGGGGCTTAGCACGCAAGGGAGCCAAAGCATCTCAAGGGTGCGAAGGACAATATCAGACTAATTGAAGCATGAAATCAAGAGAAAAACCAAGGTCAATGTACACAAACGACAACTGGTTGAGACCTAACAAACGAGTACGTGAAAATCGATAAGGAGTAGAAGAACAGAGGAATAAGGAAGCTAGTGCAAGCAGGTCGGACATGACATCGCTGGGAAGAGTCAGTGAGAAAAATGGAAGAGCCAGTCCGACGCCAGAAACGCCTCCAGTGACCATCAACAATATTTCAACGGGAAGCGTAAAATTCCCGTCGCATAGACTCAGCTGCTGCTTCATCAGTGCAATTTTTCTGCATTGGACCGCACGGGTGCTGAGAATAACTCCAAGACCAACAAGCCAAAGAAAATAGCATAGATGTTGGACAGATGTATGTAAAAAGGGCCTTAAAGTATATCTCTATGATATGCGAAATGCCACACAAAAGCAAAAATCAAAAGAACAGATGGAATATCATTCCTCTGACAACACCCATACTGTTAAACCAAACAGCAATATAACAAATATAAGACAAGAGCCGAGAGATCAAACGGAGGGTCATTCCATTGGAAGCACCAGTCATCAAAACAAAAAGCAGAGTAAACAGCATATGCAGATACAAGAGGGAGTATGGAGACAATGTAACAAACTTATCTAGCTTTTGAAATCAACCACCGGGACTATACACGCAAGGCGACCCAATATCAAAAACCCGGGAGGTCTCTGCTCACAGGGGCTGTATATAAGGCATATCCCGATGCATTATAAATATAAGGCAAGTTTAAGAAAGGTCCACAATTTGGAGTAAGACCGAACAAAGGAAATATGACATACACTTCACACAGAAGTAGACGTATATCAAGCAAATCTAAGGAAGCATGCGTAGAGTATTCAGAACAGAAGTAGCAATGAAGCTGCAAAAAATATAAAAAAGCGGCAACAAAACAAGGGATGAAGTGAGAATAAAACATGACAATAAAGTTGCAGAAAGGGTAAAATGCGACAACAAAACAAGGGATGAAGTGGGAATAAAACATGACAATGAAGGTGCAGAAAGGGTAAAATGCGGCAACAAAACAAGGGATGAAGTGGGAATAGGATATAAAATAGAACAAAACCTGGTTTGAAGGACAAGTGAGTGCGTATGCACTGGCGTGTTCAGTGAACAAGTCAGTGCATACGCACTGATTTGTCCTTCAAACCACAGCACCTAATGTGCAGGCTTTGTTCCTCGATTCAAAAACGAGAAACGAGGACCTTCGACAATATCTATACGACGTGCATCACTCCATCCACAGCAGATCCTTGCGGCTTCATCAGCGGATGCTAACAGGCTTCTGCATTGGATCACGCGAGGTTGACGATAACTCATAACCCAACAAATCATGGAGTGTTTCCAAAACAGTAGGAAGACTTTCAAATAGCATTTGAAATAATATGTGATCAAACCGAAATAATTAAAGGGTATAATTCCATGCAGCAAGAGCAATGGTTAATATCTATGATGGTGAAATTGATAATTTCCAAGTGAGTTTCTCTTTGTACTTAGGGTTACAATTAAGTAGGATTTAGTCATCAGTCACATCATCATCAGTCACCTTAGGTTTAGAGAACCAGGCTCAAGTTTGAGTCTTGAACTCTGAATATATATTACTTGTCTGTTTGTTTATGAGGAATACATGTCAGAATACGCATCTAGCCGAAAGTTGTTGTACAAGAGTACTGGATTAATGTGCATTGGGGATGGAATATATTATAGCAGCAGTTATGGGTCATTATAACATGGTGGATCCAGATAGGGTCCATGAGATGTTGCTTTTATATTTGCGTCAGAAATCATTCGAAGTATCTCCTTGATTTCATTGCGTAACCTTTATGAGTACCCAAGTTAGTATAGCATCATGTGAGGAGGGTAATATGGCTACAAGGAACTCTAGATTCTTAAGAAAACAGTACCTAGATTATCATACTTAAAACATAAAGTAATACTTTCAACAGCACCATAAACAACCGAGAACATTTTGAATAGAGGGCACGATGACACTAAGTGAACTGGAGAAAAATATCGGACAAAAACACAATTTACTCAGACGTCTATGACTATAGATCATGAAGACCGCAGACCCAGCGCTTTGACTAGTCAGTGCTATCAGACTTCAAAATAATGTGCTTACGATTTCAAGATAATGCCCACAACAGTTAGTGGACAATATCAAGAGAGAAATGATCACTAACACTCTTTCAACTTTACAGCTAAACACAAACTGACAAGGAATCAAAGATTGAACAAGAGCGTGTTTTTCAAGAATTGCAGGCATGACATCCTCTAAAGGTCAAGATCGCAAGACAACAGAGCTCATGAAGGCTGAGAGCTGATGATGGCATTTGACACGACTGAGCAGTTAACAAAAAAGATTTACAGCACAATAGCTCTTGTATACTACATCAAAATTGCAAACGCAAAAAAACCTCAAGCGCATAGCAATTTTACATAGCAACCACCAGGAGAAAATCTTAGTGGAGGTCTTGACCATTACCCGACAAGTAAGGCAGGGGTCGGAAGGGCAATCATGGTTGCACCATGGCTGCTAGCACTTGGTTGCAGCTCTGAATCGCTCGTTCCTGCATCGTCTAGAGTACGTCTTTGGTCATCACCACGTGCCTGATCTGATAAAGATGACGTGTCCAATATTCGACTGTTACTACCCCTTCGCAGGTCAAGGTCATCTTGTCCTGATGGTACCTTCAGCACTCCTGGATTTCCAGCATTGCAGTGCGGTGGGGTCACAGGTTCACCAGCTGCCATAGTGATAGCACTCATACCCTCCTTTGAATCGGCAGTAGCACTTCCGCAATCACCTTGAACTCTACCACGACACCAATCTAGTCCAGTCAAAGGACCGTCTATGTTTGATTCTCCAAAGGCCGATGAAATAGCAACGCGAAAGTCCGATTGAAGCAAGTTTGCAACGGTAGCTGGTGAGACCTGTAAGCGATGTAAATGTAAGCCAACCATAAATCTCCTCAAGTCACCTTCAACCTTCAACGGTAGTCAATACTAGGTGCTCTGATAAACTACCTATTGGAGCTTACAGACATGCTAGGTAAGTCTCTTCATAGAACAGTACGGCATCTGAGGACATGTTCAAAAATTTGACGTCAACATCCTACAAAATAGACTCTTCTATTACACAAGAAATCAAAAGCCATCATACTAAGACCCTTATAGGTTGCCGACTATGTACCTCTGCAGCCAACGGATCTATGTACTCGAGACCTGCATTATCAAGACTATGACGGATTGAAAACATTCCACCACAACCAATGTGATTTATGCCTGGTCCGCAACCACACTGATGCCTCTGACGCTCTTGAAAGGCAAGCCAGCCCAGAGGTCCATCACCACACTCTCCATCCAAGGCGATGTCTGAGGCAACAGCAGCCTGTTGTGCCAGCAAAGGAATGGCGTCTACAACAGACTGCCAGTTGTTCAACTTTTGAATAGCGACCGTGTTTCCATCGGCTCCCATGTTTCCCGTGTCTGGAGAAGCAGAGCTGGAGCCAATGCGCGAGTCTACAGTTGAATTTCCCGTCTTTTGAGGTTTCGGAGTTTGAACTGGACGCCACACACCAATAGGGGCAGCCCGAAGCCCATCTTGTACATCTTCATCGGCGTCTCCTGCTATCCTTGAAGGGAGTAATTTCTTCTTCTGTGCGGGTGGGGGTTTAGACATCACTCTACCTACTTGTTCCCCTTGACTTTGTGAATAATCGGAGTTGCCATCCTTTACTCCAGACGGTAACTTCACACTCAAAGAACTCGGAGTACCTGCGGCACGATTCCCATTGATTGATGCTGTAGAAAAATCTGTGGCACAAAGCATCGAAACTTGCAACAGACCACACTCTAGTTCTGTTGCAAGAACGGGGGTTGTGGATTTAGGAGGAGCAGAGATTCTAATATCGATCTTGTTCAAAAAGGGGTTACCGGCTCCAGAGCTGTCTTGAACGGGAGAATCCTGCATAACTGTCCCACTGTGACCTGGTCCAGAATCATTCAAAATCTGATGACGGGCAAATTTAAGATTGTTTGTTACTGTACTGTCACCGGAAGGATCTGTAACGTTAAGTGCTTGCTTCCCAGTTGAAACTGTGACAGCTTCATGCAAGGTTTTACCATCCCCCATTTCGTTGTGAGAAGGATCAGTGATTTGTTCAGCTTTGACTTTGGAAACTTCTACAGCAGGGAGGGGAGGAGGTGTAGCACTGTAAACATAAACATCTCTAAATGTGACGTCTCCTATCACCTTCCGAGTCTCAGGCATATAAGTTGATGACAATGAAACCTCATCTTTGATAACAGGTAATTCAACGGGGGCATAACCAGGTGGAAACAGTAGCAATGCCTCAGCTTTTGCCAGAACATCGATTACCACAGGTGTTGCGGTGGGAGGTGACATCTGCCCGGTACTTTGTGGTTGTGTGGTTTCCGAGGTGGACACCTTCGTTCCTCGCGCAGTTTGCTCCTTCATAGAGAGCAGCGACTGTCCCCCAAAACCTTCCAAAGTAGGGAAGTCCAGGATCGGAAGCAACATTGGATCTGAATTATCCATGCATATAGTACCAGGTGTGTTCACTCCCTCAACAGAATCAGCAAGGGAGAAAATCATTGACTGAGATTCTGCCGTTCCTGGGGGCTGGATACAAGGCAACCACCTGTTAGTCGAAATATCGACAGCAAACTACAACAAACAGGTAAAACAAATTCTTGATTTCAAACGTCGCAACCGAAGGCCGGACAACCTCTCACCTCTCCGAATCCAAGAACATCGTCTTCGAAAAAATCACCAAAGTCTCCAAACTCGGCAAGAATGTCCGCGTCCGTTTGCATTTCCATGCCCATGCCCATCCCTAACCCCATTCCTTCGTCAGTCCACTCCCAAGGTGTTCCCACTTGACTGCCACCCTCTCTTGGGGTACCTACAGCGATACTCATGGACCCTTGTAAGGTCAGCTCCCCAGTATTACCACCGCCCTTCCTTCCAGCCGCAGAGCTACCTCCATCTAACATAGCTGAGAGCTCTCCACCGGGACTAGTGCTTATTTTCCCCACTTTGGCAGATGGCTCTCCTGATAATCCAGACACCTTTCCGCGACTACGTTTTGACCCCTGCATGATCATACAAAACGTTATTGCTGCAGAACGATATTGAACTGCTAACTTGCGCACAGGTAGAGCCCTAGATTCAAACATATCAGCAACCCAGTGAAGTTCACTTCCGTTTGGAAAGAGGGTAGGACAGCAAGGATTGTATACCCCATACCCAAATTACCATACCACACGTGAGAAACAAATTCGCATTGCTCCGAGAGTGTAGACGCAATGAAATGTGAGTTAAATAGCATTTTACTGCGATAAAATCACAAAGACAAGCCACATAAATGCAATATTACAATGTGTAGACGCGTCTCACCGAGTTGCCTGCAGCAACATCTGGGTTTTGAGCTGAGTTGCGAACGCTTGACACAGAAGAGCGCTTGAAAGAACCTCCACCAACTGTGTTTGCTCCCTTGCTCCCCAGAGAGTCAGCATCTCCTTCTAGCTCTCCTTCGCCTGTCCCAACCTCACTCTCGCTAGAACTGCTACTGCCACTGCTACTACCGCTACTTCCCCGACTACTGCTGCTCTTGATACTTGCCCCACCACTGCCACTACTACTGCTACTTGTACTACTACTGTCTGCTCCACCACCCGAGATTTGGGGCTTATCTTTGACGGGAGCAACGACTGTTCTATTCCTGGATCGGCGACACACGTCCTTCTTAGCAAATCGATGATCTTTTGTCTAATATATACCTTCAGAAACCATTGGTACATGACCATTTAAAATCTGGAAAACCTGAGAGAACTCGACAACTCCGACTTGACGCAGAAGTATAACAGGGGCAGATACTTACCAGTTAAGACCTGGTACGGCACTGTCCTCTAACCAATGCGTGCCAGCCCACTCCTGCAACCAGCATCTGCACAGGCAAAACCAGTCTAAGTCCAATGCGAATAACAAAATGCAGAACGTCAAGAACAAGAAACACAATGAGCGAAGAACAGGCAATCAAAGAATTTACTTCAGCAACAGTCAACTCCAGCTAAAAACTTCTACACTGAGTTGAAAAGCCAAAAAACAAACGAAGAATTGAGTTGACTGTCTTTGAAAGACTACCTTCTCAAATAAGTGCGTGAGGGCACAGGAGGAAGAACTGGAGCCAACACCGCCTCCATGGGATATATGAGCACCTTCCCATCAACTTTCGCATCTTCTCCTGCCTTCACTTGTCCCTCGTCATCAGCCTCACGTGCTTGATCCAAAGAGGGATCAACGTTGCCCTGTGAGCTTCCCGTATTGCCTGGGCTTGACCCAACGAAGCCAGCTTGCTCAACAGTACTTTGAGCCTGGCCCACCCAAACCTCGGCATAACATGACTGGACTGCAACTCCTCCATTGCTCGATGGTGATGACGACGACACCACGCGAAAAGGTAAAGACGATGCAGTAAAAGCCTGCAGCTTGCTGCAACAGCACCAGCATTGGCAGCACTGGCGGAATCAGCTTGTAGGTTGAGCCAGCCCAGAATCTGCAGGCCTTCACCCTGAGCCAAGGTTACAGCCGTGCTGTTCTTAAACCAGCTGCAAAACCAAGTGATTAACCAAAATACACAACAAAATCCACCGCAACTTGCTCATGATGCAATGTAAGGGCAGTATAGATATCATGGTCCAGGAATTGCCGAGAGGCTTGTGAGAGGTTCCTCACTAACTTAGGAAAAACTTAGAAACATGCAAACGAGCGTTAAATCCGCTTTCAACAATATTGGAACTACATGAGGAGCCTACATGCAAACTCCAGAGTCCAGTTGAGATCAAAATCCTTTGAATTTTGATGTCAACGGTGAATCAGAAGAACTATGGGATGAATTTCTCAACTCACCAAGGTTCTGGTTGGTTTTGGATGTCTCCATGATGAAGATTGGTAGATCGAACTGGCAAATGGAGGCTTCCCAATCGCAAGAATCGACCACCATGCTACAACACGTTTGACCCACACTTTTCACAGTGCAATTGAAAGGCACTGATATCTCATAAAACACGGGTACAACAAGGAAAAGGATGATCTATCCAGAAAATGCACTCTGGATTGAAAGACCCTCTACTTCAAACGTCAACTATTAACAATCACAGCTCCCGCTTGTATACAGGAGTATGTAGGAGAAGAGGAGTCCAGGACCTCCAGGGAACTGTAAGTGGTACATAACACAAAACAGCCAGCCAGAGCGTACAGAGGATTGCACTGCGTGTCCAGAACTTTCAGAATAAGGTGCCATTGGAGAAAGTTTTGAAACACTCTGGTCAAACCTTTCCAACTTCTTTCTTTTGCTTGTTTGTGTGGTTCATGTAATCACATCTAAGTTTTGCAAATTAATGCTGCCCAGTAGGGAATGACGTCAACGAACTTTGATCACAAGTTCCAACGTTTTTTGCAGCAGTTGCAGCAGGTAGAAGCAAAAAAAATAACACATACGAAAAACAGATCCCTCTAATTTTCAAAACATATTGACTTCATATCCAACAAAATTTCAAACGCGAGGAAAGGACACGAAAACTCAGGCATTGGCGACAATCTTAAACTACAACCTAAAAATCACATTCGTCAGGCTTTCTCTGCCTGGAGGATAGATGACTAGAGGCTTCAAGTTGATAGGGTTACCTGCGATATAATACACTCACAAGATCCCCGGGACAACATCCAGTAAGACGTCCACTGAGACCATAAGGGGGTACAGCCACTGCGCAAACCCGACAGTGAAGGCATGCATAAAAACCAAATTTGTGCAAAGGTTCTCCAGGTGAGTGAAGGAAGATTACTCTCTAAATTTTGAAACCTGGTATAGAACTTGAAAGGCTGAAAACAGAGAACTTAGAAGAACGAAGTGTGATTCCATCTCAAGAAAGATGTACAAGTGAAAACAGCCTCATCTCAACAAACGCTCAATAAACAGAGATCAAACCTACGTACCGGTCAGACTGTTTTCCGTTGGACTATCACTAACGAGTTGTTGTGCTAGAGCCAACTGCATGTCGTGGGCAGATAAGAGCCTTACCCTCCTGTTGTTCAAATCAAAGAACTTAACTGAGCAAGGGAAAGAATGATAAATCACGTACAAGTGCTGCAAAAGAAACGCAGCCCACATAACAGATGCCATACAGAATCCGAGACCTTGAAAAACCTCATGACGACATACAGAAAACCATGCGGCACTAACAAATGTTAAATGTAACCTTCAACAGGAGTTTTAGTCAGATTCCAAAATATAGACAAGAATGCCTTTGATAGTTGGGTAAATACGCACTTTCGTCGCACAACTACATGCACGAATAAGGCCTCCTCACTTCCCATGAACATCAGTTCACAAGTTGGTAGCACCTTCCTGTCACGGGCAACGAATAAGGAGGACAGGTTAGACAAAGTTGCAACAGGTTTTGCAATTTGGGTGGACAAGGTAGAACCTAAGTTAAAGTTGTGTTTTATACTGAAAGAGACAACCTCCATAAAGAGTATCGAGTATTCGGAGACCTTACTAACCGAAACCAGAGAACATGCTTACACGGTGATCGGAATCCAAACTGAACCACAATTCAGGTAAGTTTCGCTTCAAAATTCTGAAAAAAAAATTCTATTGCACTAGACACCGACGATACCCTAGATTATTTATTTTCAAGAAATAAAAATTGAGTTTCGTCCAGAAACATATTTTATATAGAATTTTAGAAGAAACTCCTGTCGACCTTGATGAAGGCATAAAACACAAAGACAGCCTCTTATCCCACTATGAGAACAAAAACTTAGTAAAACATCACAGAAATGGTAGCTATATAAAAGTCCCATAACTCTCCTAGAGGTTTAGACAATTGTCTGTCCACACACGAGCTTGCAAAAAGTTATGGCAATCACAATTTACACATATGAGCCTCGACCCTATTTAAAAAAGAAACAGGGCATTGGTGGAGGATGCAAGTTTGGCATGGTTACCTTGACTCTAGCACGCCATGTCTCCTACACTTCACAAAAACGTCTCCAAAACGAACATATGAGAGACTTCTCAACGACCTGCAAGTTACACGGAATCTGAGAACGAACGCTGAAAGCAAATATACGTATAGCGTAACGTAGAATCCAAGGTGGAGTATCCGATAAAAGCTGAAAAATTTTCGAACTGAGAGAGTTAGAAGCAAAGCTCTCTGGAAGCAAAAAACCAACAGCTGTTTTTTCTAATGTATCAACCCGGCTGATTCCCATTCAACAACCGAAGCCTATCATCATAAGGACACCATGAAAAGGGTGACCTTTCAAGACGATTCCGAAGAGCTTCAGAAAGCGCAGCTCCCACTTCCTCGTTGTCGCCAGGTACACACCACAAGCCAGCTCCAACAACTATGTGCGCCAAAGCAATGAGTACAGGTAGAATTAATAAAATGCTAGATCACAACTTCGACAGAAAACCTCTGGACGTGGAGAGGATGTGAAACACACGTTTTCTGTTGTTTTAGACTATTGACAGATGTCAAATCTAAAGTGTATGATCGCTTTGATCTCCAAGATTAGGTAGAAAACCAAGAGTGCGTAAAAACTGCAAATGCAGGTAATAAAGCTTGAAGGGAAGGTAATAAGAATTGCTCTAGAACAATGGTAAGATATGCATCCAGGTTCAATAATCCAGGTTCAACCATCATGTATACGTTATGCTGTAGACGTTGTGTCCTTTACCTTTAAGTCCCATGATCATAGGGTGAACAGATGGGCTTATATTATCGTGCCGGCCAGGTGAAAATATCCATAGTTTAAGTCTTTCATCTGCAGGCAACAACAAGAAACCAGCTTAATATAAGCACAAGCCCGCTGTGCACAGTAAGAATTCTCCAGGACCCATGTCTCCAGAAATCAAAGTACCAGAAGAAGCGCATCGCACTTCGCTGCTGGACTCTATCTTTTCTCTAGGTTCGAAAGCTCTCACTGCTACATCCAGTTAGTAACTACATCTGGTCCATTCAGGTAGGCTCAACACAACAAATCGTTTGTGAAGGTGCTTCCGAGACTCTGAACCCAAGTGCTTCAGGATAACCTCTTAACTGTAGCACAAGTCTGGGTCATGACACTTCATGAAGAGAGTACCGTAAGGACATGGAGAAGTTTTGAAGATGGTCATGTAAACGACATGAAGCCTGGTACTTAGTTACTGGGTGGAGACTTATGTTATTATGAGTCCATATTGAGTAAGAGATGGCATATAAAGACCCACCTGAATTTGTAGGGCGTGTTATAGAGCCCTCCTTGATAGGGGATACTGTCCACGCACTGAGGTGTCCTTCGCCTTGGAGCCGCACGTGTGCCATCATGACTAGCATGTTCATCGCATCCTGACGGTTTTTTTCCATCCTGAGGCGTATAAACAGAGCCCATTAGTATTATTCTGTTGGAGCACGAAGAGCATACATCCCGCCTTGGCCCAGTGACGGCGAAGCATAACTTGTTAAAAACGCGAGTCATGAACAACAAATCCGTACAATTGAAAGAACTCCCATGTCTGTGAAGCTGCAGAGCTGCTTCACGACGGGTTTACTGAAGTGATCTTCGAAGATTCAGGGTAAGGCTTCGGAGAACAGATGAGGCAATAAAATTGAGGCCGTGGAGCTCATCCTAGGCACCCAGCATAGCGGAGGGCCAACTGTCTTATCTTTCATAAACGTTGTATTCTAGTCGTGCACAAGAGGATGACTAGTTCACAACCTTCAGGCGCGAGTGTATATGTTTATTTTATTTTTAAGTTTTTTTATTTCCAAGGAGACTGTGACATTAGATTATCAAAACAACGACTGTATTCCCTTCACAATTAACTCAAGAAGTATGTCACCGTGAGGATGTGAAATTGGAACCTGTTTTGAATTTCAGACTCGGTGAGTTTGCATGAAACAAAATATCTGAGAAAGAAATAGTGAAGCACTGAAACCATAAATCCCGTATGACTCAAGGACATGGGAGAGCTCTTGCAAGCCGATAAGAGGTACATACGTTGAGGATTCCATGAATTCTAAACACAAAGGGCACCGGCATTTTGCCCGGGGTATTCCCCAGGAATAGCACACCAATGTGGACAACCTCATCATGGCGTTCTGCCTTGGATTAAAAATCCGGTTGTGTGAAAAAATCTAGAAGTAATAAATCAAAGTGAAAAAAATTGAAGATCGAAGTCGGGGTTTAAGTCGCACCTGGAAGTGCTCGGTGAGGAGCGTTCCACATCTGGAATAAGCTGAAACCATGAGACTTGATGCAGCCCAGCCTGCAACAGACGAACACGCAGTGTCAACGACTTTGTGATCGTCATTGAAGTAAACGGGAGTGATCAGATTTGAAACTCAGAAGTTAGTAACTCTGTTTGAAAACTGATATAAAATGCTTCGCGAATAAAAACTGGGCTGAAGTGCACAAAATCCACTCCATGTTCCATGCCGCAAAATTAAGTGCCTGCAAGGAGGCAAAATTTCGTAATTTTATCTCGTACAATTCTGAAGATGTTGGTGATCATCTTGGCTGAGTCGTTCACGGCGTCGCCAGTAGAAAAAATAACTCATAAGTAACCTAGGCAATCGTTCCCCAAAAAAGCCCAGGCCCTCTTGCAGCTTCAGCTCCAGGCATATAGCATCCAGAACGAGAAATACGTGCAGGTCGTTCGGCGGCTCGAAAGTGAGCTCGACACTAAATTGGAGCACAGTCGCACCGGACGGTTGTGACATTCGTCACGAGGGCGCGGCCAGCGCAGACAACAGAAAAACGTGTACACTGGAGAGGGCACATTTTCCGAGGTCCAAAATCGACCACAAAAGAGCGCTCGCGGTCCGCGTCGATGTACAGCATGATAAGAAATGCTTCTCTCATTTCCAAGGGCGAAACTCCGAAGGAGTGGAACGAGAGATCGACGCAAGCTGCTCTCCGCGCCGAGATGCCAAATACAAACTCATACTCGACGCGACTCCAGAATGCACCACCGGCAAATAATTTGACCTCCGACAGAAAGCCCCCCCTGCCCAACGCAACAACCCTCAACCCTCTATCCCGGCCTTCGTCGCCTCTAGCGGCCCATGTCTGCCACCACTGCTGCTGCCATCTACCGCGGCCCTCCCATCATGCTCCAGGCCTAAGCTGCACCCCGACAACTCTCGCTTCTGCGTCATCCGTTCTGCGCCAGACTCCGAAGCTCCGAACTCCTCCCTCCTCCCTCTCCACCTCCTGCTGCTGCTGCTGCTGATCTCCCGAGCTCGTGCTCCATTCGCAGCAGCTCCAATCCTGCCCCAACCAGAAGCACCCCCGCCCTCCTCCTTCCCTCTCCCTTCCCCTTCCCCTTCCCTTCCCTTCCCTTCGAGTTCGAACGAACAGCTTCTTACCGAAACTCGCAAAGAGTCGGCGCGTGGCCTGGCCTGCTCGTTCGTTCCCGAGCGTCGCTCCTGCAGCTTTCCTTTCCTTTCCTTTCCTTTGCTCCCCGTCCCGTCCCGTCCCCGCTCCGCGCGGGCCCTGATCAGCCCCGCCCCCGGCCTTGTCCGTCCTACGCCCCCAGCCTCTAGGTTCCCATGTCCCCGCCTCGCCTCGCTCCTCTCTTCGCGGCGTTCGTCCAGCTCCTTAACGTCCTCCTCGTCCTCGTCCTCCTCTCGATCCCTCGGCACGACGACCAGAAGAGAGCCACAGTCCGAGGGGTTGGGGTGGGGGGCGCGGGTGCTCTCTCCGAGCTGGCGGCTCTCTCCCTTCCCTTGCCTTCCCTCCAGCGCAAGCGTCCAAAACTCTACGACTACCGATCCGTTCGGTCCGCCGCGCACGCGTTCAGCTTCCGCTGCCTGCTTCGCCGTTCGGTTCTGCTTCCCCCCTCCCGAGGTCCGCCTGCGCCTTTACCGGTGGTTCCCCGTGGTCGCCCGTGGTCCCCCGTGGTCCTGACCTACGCACGGATTCCTGCTGCATCCCTCTCTCTCTCTCCATCTCTCTCAATTAGGTCGCCGTCGAGCCCGTCATGCCTTCCCGACCCATCGATGCCCTTCCCTCCCTTCCTTACCCAAAGCTTCCCTCTGCGCCCGGCCTTGCTTCGCGTACTTATGAGTTCAGAATCAAGCGTGCGGCCTATGCATGCCGTGAATCGATCGATCGATTCATTGGCATGGAGACGGGGCCATGCGCAGTTCCATGTTCGCTTTTCTTTGAATACTCTTGATGATTGTGGCGGACATGCGGGGTCGATATGTTTTAGGCCGTCGAACTCGTTCACTTTCTCGTGTTAGGAGTCTTAGTAATCTGGCATAATCGATCTATCTGGGGGCAATTTATGGACAACCGACCAGATTTTATTTCTTCATCTCAAAATATATCAATCTAGGTGCCAGATAGGTACTGTTTATTTGAGCTTGATTGAGTAGTTATCGAGTTCATACTTTGCATCGTTACCTTGCGTTCATGGATTCACACCGAAGAGAACAAACGACGAACCTTACAGAGAAATGACATAGCTGGTGCTATCACCAGAGGGGATATCTTTGACTTCCTCGTCGATATTGTGCCACAAGATGAACTGAAGGTGAAGAAAAATTGGCGACCCTGAAAGGGACTTCATCAATTATTGTCTGCAATGGAGATCTTGGAACGTCTTTTTCATGTTGTATAGTGTAGCTAACTTGTTCTCTCTTGAACTCGTAGGAAGAGGATATTCCTTGGTTAGGAATTGGAGTCGCAGGAGACCCGTCAGTGTCTTACGAGGGACTTTACTGTCCACCTACTTTACAGCAACCTCTCCATCATACAATGGTCTCTCCGGTGAGTTTCGAATTATATGTGCAGAAATTGTCTTTATTATTAAACGTAATGCAGGGACGCTCCCATGTGTGATGACGCCAGAAATTTTTGTGCTCGTATACATGTAGGTTATGTCCAGATGTATGTATACAGAAGTTATCCATGAGGTTCTATCTGAATGGAATGCGTGAACCTTGACATCCTCGTCCGCATATAGTATTTAAAAGATTATTAAGATACACTTTAATTGTTGTAATCAAAACCCGATTGTAAGGAGAATCTTAAGCATGAATATTGATACTGGAAGGGGGACGAATGAATGCAAAGAAATCATTTCTATTTTTGTTTCATAAATTGACAACCTGATTGTTGTATACATTAATGAAACTCATTTTCATTTCTACAAAAACGTCATCAAATTAATGATTATAATAATGATTCCGACAACTACATGACATAAGGAAGTAAAGTTTCTCCATTTCAATGAGTTGATCATCAAATTGCAGCCATGAAAATTAAATATAGTTATTACTAAAAAACCTACTCTTGTATTTTTTTATACAATTAAGAACACAAGTCACACTAATTATGCTGATTTCATATCAGTTTAAAAATATCAATAAAATATTTATATGTAAGGTGCATATGATTTCTCCGTGAAATTATCATTTCGAAAGCACATACTGATGTAATTTATTTGTTATCAAATAATTTACTCATTCCAAAAGTCATTTGATATCAATAATTGAGGTTCATTTTTTGTAATAATGACAACTTCCTCAAACACAACAGCTATTAGTAAGTTCAATATTAGAACATCCATGATCACACTAGATACATGAACAAAACAACTACTTTAAAACGAGCTCAAAGATATAATGATTTAATAAGAAATGACACTACACATGGATTATTTTTTTCCTAATGTCAACATGTGTGATATGTATATTTCATAAATAATTTGTAACTTCATGTTTCAAATTCTGATTATCTAATCCTTCAATTATATTATTATTAATTACACTTAAAATTATTGTGTGATACAAGATTTCATCCATTCAAACTCAAATTTTGATGCTAAAAAATGATCACTGATGAATGTGGCATTTTTTTCAAAAAATATTTCATATCAGGTTATACAGAGTTACAGTTTTAATGTAAATATTGAGTTTATATTGACATTTGACTTGAAATAGTCCATGATTTATTAAGTTACAATTATATTATTATTGATGTTTTAATATGTTTGACCTATTAAATTTCAAAACTAAACTTTTGAAATTACTGATAAGAACTTGTATTGTATTTCAACTTTATTTTCAAATTATTATTAAACTTTTCACCTAATAATATATCAAGAAATCATTCACATTTTAAGAAATTGTTTATGTATTGTGAACTAACTTTTCAATTGTATAGAAATAACATGTTAATAAACACATTAAATATTTTCATGTTAAACAAATCATTTAAATTTTCTCCAATTTTTCAACATTTTTAAAAAAAATCTCAACTTCATTTTATATTCATTTTTTATTTATCCGTGTGAAATTAAAATTTCTCAAAGAATAAATTTTAAGCTAGATAATAAAATAATAATTTATATCATGCTTAGTTGTAATATGTGTGTATGAATTTGAAAACAAAATTATCTTTCTTACAACCTTATTAGATACAAGCTGAAAAAAAATATAGATATTTTAAATTTCATATGATGTGCTTTAATGCATATATGTAATAATTTAGTTTTATTCCAATCGAGAACGTTCAACTGATTAAAACCATTTTTGACAATTTGATGATTTAATATAAAATGTTATAATTAATTTCTTCATAAAATAATGTATTAAAATTGATATTATTGGATAATGATAATATATCATAGTGATATACTTACGTTTTCTTTGTCAAGTTTATTTCAAACATTCAAAACAATCCATAATTTATACCCAAATGCAAAATCTAAAACTTGAAATACATCTTAAATGCGTTTTAAATCAACATAAAAATTGTATGAATATAATTCAATAGGCAAGTGTTTTACATTAAAAGGATTTATGATATACAAATACCTTATTTGAAAAAAATGAGTACAGTTTAATATATTTTTTGTAATTTAAAATCTATACAACACATTACATAATAAAAAACTATGAATCATATTTTAAATTTAGGATAACAAAATTTTCAATCTTGAAATTAAAATTCATCAACAAAGTATACGTAACTCGACTTCAACCTTCAATAAAATGTGTGTTTAAAAATAATATTTCTACTTATAAATAAGTATTATATTGTAATTATTATATTCATTTAATAAATTTAGTCATTTTGATTTTAATGTGAATTCATTTTTTATATAAAAAAAAATTAAAATGTTCATTTATTTATTGGAATAATATGATCATTTAATTTAAAATTATTATTTCTATACTACAACACTTTAGAATTCTTACATATAAATTTTTTTTCTAAAAATATATTTTATATCTATCTTTACATGTTTTCAAAAAAAATTCTAATATATATTGGTTACAATACAGTTACTCCATATTACTTCAATGTTTGCGGACTAGTGCAGTTCAAGTCTTATTTGTTAGCACTGAAATCTAGTGTTAAGTAGTCTACTATTAGTATTGTTGCATCTTGGGTTTAAAGCACTTCATAGTGGTGTGATCAACTTCAAGAGCGTGATTCTCTTTGTACTTGGTATCCTTTGGCCTTTCTCGGATTGGGTATTTAAATTCAATTTGGGAAACTCAATTTTTCAATAATTATCTATTCAATACTTCTTCAACCTGTGTGTGGACGTTCAACTCATATTGCTTTATTTATCTAATATGGTATCTATTTTTATTCAATAACGTTTGAATCAAGACAAGCTTGCATGACGTTCCTTGCTACAAATCACATATGTGCTACCTATCAAAGTATTTTCATAGATCCCGAAATATCTTTAAGGTCCAAATTTGACCATTCAAATTTGTCGGATAAATGTTTGTGTTGATCTGAAGTGGTGGGGGAGTCCAAATTTTAGAAATTTTTTAAATTACGCTCAAATTTTTAAAGATTTTTGAAATACAAGAACAAAATTTCATAAATTTTCAAATTTTGCAAAAATCTATGAGAGTGAGGTTAGCGTTCTGCATCACATCGTGAAGAACGTGAAAAACACCAGACATTTTGAGTAAGATGATTTCTCCAAGAGTTTCCATCCTAGTTGCATGGAAAAATCTTCCCAAATTTGATGGGAAGCATTTTTACTCATGGAAATATTACATAAGTTAAATACTTCAAGTTGAAAGATTAATGGACTTCATGAAAATTAAAGAGCTCCGGCCAATCACTCCACCTGATTGTGCAACTAGCACATATGCGTACGTCGCAAAGAGTAAGAAGGAATTGAACGAAAAAAACTTCATCTCCTTGGCAATGTTGAATAATGCGATGGAGCGTCAACAACAACCCTTCGTTGCTCACTATCGGATAGTAGTTGAGGCCCAAAACGAATTGACAAGGATATTAGAATCACGTCACATACAGATGCAACTGCATCTAAAAGAATCATTGCATTCTCTTAAAGAGTAGACATGTGAGTCTATGGCGACACACATCACAAAGTTTCGTCTTCTTCTGAATCAATTGATTGATGTAGAATAGATCATATCAGATATTGAAGCTTTGATTTGACTTCTTCAAAATTTGTGTGTCAAATATCAAGCTTTCGTGCACTCAATGCGAACAAATGAGACGTTTCGTACACAATTTGTCATAGCAAGTCTCATTCTTGAAGAAGTACATCTCAAAAAGTAAGAGATTACTAAAGGAATGTCAACGCTCTACACCAGAAATAGAAGAGGGTGTACTCCCTCCAATCAAACACTATAGCCAAGAAGATCCGACGACGCAGGTTCTTCATCTTCATCACAACAAGAACTCACATCAAAACCATATTTTTCCCGACAAAAGATGAAATACTTATATTGCAAGAAGATAGACTATTCTAGCAAATGAGTGTCGGAAGAAGAAGCAAGAAAGCTCTTTCACAAATTCTAATTCAAATGTTTAGCACTCATTGCATGTCATTGCACTCTACTCAATCGGGGCGGATCCAACATGGTATGTTGATTTGGGTGCCCCCTAACACATGGCGTATAATCGAAATGACTTTGTGGACTATACGAAATTTCCATCAGAAGAGTTAGTTTATTTCGACAACAACAGTCGCCAACCCATTCGAGTCAAAGAAAATGTTCTTGTTTCCTTGAATGATGGTCATGATAAAGTGATACCTGATGTACTTCATGTTACTGCTATCCGCAAAAAACTGTTTTCTATAAATCACCTAGTTCTCAAGCGCGGGAATTTACTATCAAGCATGATCATTGCATCTTAAAGTACTAGATGAGTAACATAATTGCACTATGCATAAGTAAAAACAAACAAATTTTTTCTTCCTAAAATTATGTTTTACATCTATCTTTACATGCTTTCAAAATAAAATAAAACATTTATCACACATATATGTATAGAAATAGTTTGTGAAGCATGAATCACATCATATGTGCATATTTGCAAACAAACACTTAAATTTGTTAGGAAAATGAATATTTTTATATTAAAAAATAAATTAACATATTTGCAAGCTTTTTATATTATGGTATTGTGTTCAAAACTGGTGAAGTTTTGAAATGTTTAGCTACAAAATTAAGTACATCTAGATTTTGATTTTAGATGAAAGACATTGATCAATGTGGACAATTTTTTAGTGGCATTAATTTATTCTCATTTGAAATAAATATATAAGTTAGATACAAGATT